ACCCAGTTACCCCCCATCATGTCCGTCCTCTTGTCCACCATCGTCACGTCCTCCTCTCCACCATCGTCACGTCCGTCCTCTTCCACCACCGTCTCGCCCTTCCTCTTCCTCCACCGTCACGCCCGTCCTCTTCCTCCACCGTCACGCCCGTCCTCTTCCTCCACCGTCACGCCCGTCCTCTCCCTTCACCGTCACGCCCGTCCTCTCCCTTCACCGTCACGCCCGTCCTCTCCCTCCACCGTCACGTCCGTCCTCTCCCTCCACCGTCACGTCCGTCCTCTCCCTCCACCGTCACGTCCGTCCTCTTCCTCCACCGTCACGTCCGTCCTCTTCCTCCACCGTCACGTCCATCCTCTTCCCCCCACCGTCACGTCCGTCCTCTTCCTCCATAGTCATGTCCGTCCTCTTCCTCCATAGTCACTGTGACGTCTTTTATCTCCAGCAGATGATGATACACACATATATAGTGTGGGAACCCAGATTAACCCCTTCAGGGGCAGAACATTCCCCCACTTCTGGGGCTGGAACATTCTGCTAATTGTGGAGATGTCACCTCAGCCGTCTATACTAACGGAATATACCACTTTTATTAATGGCAGGGGATGGGGGGGGGATTATTTAGACAGAGAATATTTACGACTTTCTTTGCTGGTGGATCAAGTACTAGGAGAAGCAGACTTTTCATAGAAAAAGAACTTTGTGATCCATCAAGCCAAAGGGTTAAATACTCCCGAATCACAAAATCATAGAGAATCCTAAACTGAATGTTCCTCTGTGTGTAATCCCACCGGGGGCCGTTCTTCCATGATAGAGACCTTCATATTATTCCTCTCCCCCCCCCCCCCCCCCCCCCATCCTAATATTGTACAACCAGTACAGTCCAGATCATTCTCTGTTATCAATTATTGGTCTACAGGAAACCTGTATAGATCACATGACCAATGAGGATGGAGGAGGACCGGAGTCACATGACTGAGAGGATACTAAACCTCACCCTGGAGATCATCTACCTGCTGGCCGGAGAGGTGAGGAGGATTCTGGGAGGTCACATGACATCACTCTCATCTCTATTAATAAAAGACAGACCTGACCGCAGAGGTGAGGGGGATTCTGGGAGGTCACATGACATCACACAGACCTGACCGGAGAGGTGAGGAGGATTCTGGGAGGTCACATGACATCACTCTCATCTTTATTAATAAAACACAGACCTGACTGGAGAAGTGAGGGGGATTCTGGGAGGTCACATGACATCACACAGACCTGACCGGAGAGGTGAGGAGGATTCTGGAAGGTCACATGACATCACACAGACCTGACCGGAGAGGTGAGGAGGATTCTGGGAGGTCACATGACATCACACAAACCTGACCGGAGAGGTGAGGAGGATTCTGGGAGGTCACATGACATCACTCTGGTCTAGTCTGGCTAATAGACCATGTTCTTCTTGTAGACATGTAGATGATGTCAGATGATTGATATCGGTTTCCCTTTCTCCTGATCTGTAGGATTATGTTGTAGTGAAGAAGTCTAGTGGGGAGCCAATCTCAGGAGGATGGAGCAGGACCCAGAGCCCCACCATGGTGCCTCCCCCTCGTTCTCCCATACCTGAGAGGAACAAAGAGCAGAAGATCCTGGAACTGACCACCATGATGGTCCATCTGTTGACAGGAGAGGTGAGCGGTGCCAGGAATTCTGGGACATTCTCCAGTAACAGACAAGGGATGTGTCTGGATGGTGACTGTATCATTGTGTATGTCAGGTTCCTATAAGGTGTCAGGGTGTCACTGTCTATTTCTCCATGGAGGAGTGGGAGTATTTAGAAGGACACAAGGACCTCTACAAGGGCGTCATGATGGACAATCAGCAGACTTTCAAGAAGATTGTAAGGAAGGAATTTCCCTGGAATGAGACTATATTGAACCTTGCCCTGGAGATCCTCAGCCTGCTGACTGGAGAGGTGAGTGTAATGAAGGGGTTACATCTGACTCGGCTGTACACTGGGAGGGATTCAGAGTCTTTTTAGGTCTTCTGATGTTCTGCTCATCAATAACGACATCCACACAAGTAGTATGAATACATGAAGTGTCCGTACTCTATGATATCCGGTTATAGCACAAGATGGCGGCATTGGTTATAAAAGAGAGCAAAGTCAGCTTTAGTCCAATCAGTGAGACCCATGATTGCCGGTATGCCACGCCCACTGACCGCTAGATCCATGGGGAACATCTACTGGTGGGTCAGTGAGTTTTACTAGGAAAACATTAGTGACCCTATTATAGGACTTCTAGAAGGAGCTATAAATCCGACCCCATTGTAGTCCTATCATTGGATGGAGATGTCCGTCCTTTGCTGAGTCGGCACATTGTGGCCAATCCCTGGAGGACACATCTAGAGCTGACCATAGAGGTGAGGGATGATGGGAGAGTGAGATTTATCTTTGTATCGCAAAGAACTGTACAGGAGTCATGAAGAAATCTACCGACAATGAGACCAGAAGGAGATCTCATCGTATGACCACAAGATCCTCGAGAATCCAGAATTCGGTCACCATCCCCCCACCTCCATCCCTGATCCCTACAGGACAGAAGATTCTAGAAGTCACCAAGAAGATGATGGAGCTGCTGACAGGAGAGGTGAGCGGTGCTGGGAATTCTGGGACATTCTCCAGTAACAGACAAGGGATGTGTCTGGATGGTGACTGTATCATTGTGTGTATCAGGTTCCTATAAGGTGTCAAGGTGTCACTGTCTATTTCTCCATGGAGGAGTGGGAGTATTTAGAAGGACACAAGGACCTCTACAAGGACGTCATGATGGACAATCAGCCGCCCCTCACATCACCAGGTAAGAGGAGACTTTATTGGAAAGGAGAGAGCAGTACGGAGGATCCACCTAGATCCCCCATCATCTGATAAACACATAGATACAATGGATTCAGTCAGTGTGTGTGTTTTCCTACAGATGGTTTCAGTCATGGGAACCCACTAGAGAGATGTCCCTGTCCTCTGTATTCCCGGAATTCCACACAGGAAGGTCACACTATCCCTCACCATCATCAGGTAGATGGATCCAGTCATGGGAACCCACCAGAGAGATGTCCCAGTCCTCTGTATTCCCGGGATTCCACACAGGAAGGTCACACCATCCCTCACCATCATCAGGTAGATGAGGAGCAATTATTGATAATTCTGATTTATACACAGCATGTTTGTTACAATGATTTATAATATTTTCAGAGTGGAAACCTTGGGGTTAACAATAACATTGTTAAAGAAGAAATAAAAGAGGAGGATGGGGAGTATGGAGTGATGAAGCAGCTTTCTGAAGAGCACAAGGATCTCTTTGAGGATATCGTGATGAAGCCATCAAGCCCACCAGAGAGATGTCCTCTGTATTCTCGGGATTCCACATTGGAAGACCACAACTATGCACACAATTACAAGGTTGGTTTGATGGAGGATCTAGGCCATGAAAGTGACTCAGCCATACCAGCCATGTGTGGATCCTACAAGATGGCGTTCTTTCTGTGGTCTTGCATTATTCAAGTGGCTGAAAACCCGAATTCCCAAAACACAATTTTTTTTGCCTAGTTCAGTAGATAATGTAGTTATAACCTAAATCACATTGTGTGAACCTCTCAATATTGCCTCCTCAATCAGTTGTACAACCACTTTAAATCTGATATTTTCCAACCCTTCTCTTGATGTAGAGTGGAGATCCAATCGATATAGAATTTGAGGTGAAATCAGAAGAAGAAGAGGCGTATGTGAGGGATGATCAGCAGTCTATGGAGGAGGATGGAATAACGGGGACATTTATAGAGGAGGACACTCCTACAGAGATCAGCACAGGTGGGTCATGAACACTAAATCCATTCCTCCACCCATACTGCTCACTGATTGGTCCAGAGTAGGGCGGGTTGATATTGTCCTGTAGTAAGGTTGGTGTCCTCCAGTGTTTCCTGGTAGGGATCACTCTCGGCCTCCTACTGCTGTAGAGCGTCTCCTGAACTGCAGTCACCCCTTAATCCCTACAACCCCGCACTGTGAATTCCACTTATCCGCATTCCGGGCCCTTCCTGCCTTGCACCGCACTTTTCCTTGCCTTTCCTTTCCTGGATTCCTTTCTCTGCTTCGTTGTACCAGTCCAGCTGTAGCCTGCACTCCTGGAGCCCACCGCCATCCAGTTTTCAGACTGTACGGAGGGTCCACCATCTCCATCCATTCATGATTGGAGCTCAGACTGTTACATGGGGATAATAATGTGATCACATCCTCCAGCCAGAAAGTGATAATGAGGGAGGAGCCAATAGTCCAATGATGGTGGTGTTTAGGGTCAGGATGGGGGAGGAGCCAATACACCAATGGTGGTGGTCTTCAGGATGGGGGAGGAGCCAATAACCCAATGATGGTGGTCTTCAGGATGGGAGAGGAGCCAATAACCCAGTTATGGTAGTCTTCAGGGTCAGGATGGGGGAGGAGCCAATACCCCAATGATGGTGGTTTTCAGGGTCAGGGTGAGGGAGGAGCCAATACCCCAATGGTGGTGGTCTTCAGGATGGGGGAGGAGCCAATAACCCAATGATGGTGGTCTTTCAGGATGGGGGAGGAGCCAATAATCCAATGATTGTGGTCTTCAGGATCAGGTTGGGGGAGGAGCCAATATCCCAATGATGGTGGTCTTCAGGATGAGTCCAGTCTTCCTCTTGGTTGTCTTCTCCCCATCCTCACTCTCTGACCTCTGGTGGGGCTCCTGTCTAGTAATCCTCTTTGTCTTTGTATTTTAGTCCATGGCAGGGAGATGAGGAAAAAAACCTCCGAGGATTGTCTCACTTTATCTCCAGACTGGAAAGTAGAAGATGAGGACATCACACAGAATCCAGAAGACCCCACCACCTTGTATATCTTTGTGGTGCCCTATATTGTGAATGTACCATCGGATTCCTCGTATCCTGAGGAACCTCAGACTGTGCAGGACCGGGCCATCCTTCCAACAGTGAAGAGGTTCTCCTGTCCTGAGTGCGGGAAGAGTTTCCGCTATAAATCCCGTCTTAACGCTCATAAAAGGTCTCACACTGGTGAGAAGCCATTTTCCTGTCCTGAGTGCGGGAAATGTTTTTCAAATAAGTTCAACCTCTCCATACATCATAGGTCTCACACAGGTGAGAAGCCACATTCCTGCTCCATGTGCGGGAAATTATTTTCAGATAAGTTCAGTCTTTCTGCACATCAGAGATTGCACCCGGGAAAGAAGCCGTACTCCTGTCCTGAGTGCGGGAAACGTTTTTCAGATAAGTACTATCTTTATAATCATCAAAGATTGCACACAGGTAAGAATCCGTATTCCTGCCCCATGTGCGGGAAATGTTTTTCAAGTAAGTCTTGTCTTTCCATACATCAGAGATTGCACACGGGGGGAAAAGCCTTTTTCCTGTCTTGAGTGCGGAAAATGTTTTGTACAAAAATCAGACCTTGTGAAACATCAGAGATCTCACACGGGGGAGAAGCCCTATTTTTGTTCTGAGTGCGGGAAATGTTTTTCACAGAAGTCCAATCTTAACAGCCACCAAAGGTCTCACATAGGTGAGAAGCCGTATTCCTGCCCTGAGTGCGGAGACGATTTCGTACAAAAATCAGAGCTTGCCACACATCAAAGATCTCACACGGGGGAAAGCCATTTTCCTGTCCTGAGTGCGGGGAATGTTTTTCAAAGAAGTTCTATCTTTCCATACATAAGAGATCTCACACGAGGGATCCATGTCCTCAGGATGAGAATTGCCCATCACAGAAGTCCTCTGCTTACAGTCATCTGAGATTGGACACTGAGGAGAACGAACTTTCCTGGTCTGACTGAGGGAAATGTTCCTCACTGAAGTCCTGAGTGCGGAAAAATGTTTTTTCAGAGAAGTCGAGTATTTCCAAACATCAGAGATTTCACATGGGAGAGAAACCACGTCCCTGTTCTGAGGGCGGGAAATGTTCCTCACTGAAGTCCCGTCTTCCTGTACATCAGGGGCCCAACACAACCCTGGAGGTGTATTAGTGCCTTGAGTGCGGGAAATTGTTATAACAATGGAACGCGTTGTGTATTGTACGCCAACCAATAATGACTCCGCCACCACATTCCAGACGGGATCTTTCCGACCAATCGAATTTCTGCCTTTATTATTTCCTGATTCTATGACTGCAATCTTGTCCGAAGTAAAATTCTAATAAAAACTTTATTGAATGAACAATAAATGGTGATTGTCGGTGCGATAATGGCAAACTGGCGTACCTACACATTGCTCCTAGGTGGCGCTTTACAAGTCTTTACAGGTCATCAGTTTAGTGTTGATTGTGAATATTGGGTGTAGAATTATCGCTCTCATTCCAGCCTAGGAATATGTAACCTGCAGCACAACCGACGTCTTCATACAGCGGGGAAATGAGGATTTGATACCCTGCAGATTGTGTAGGTTTGCCCACTTACAGAGAAATGAAGGGTCTATAATTGTTATCATCGGTGTATATAAATAATAGAGACAGAATATCAACCAAAAATCCAAAAACAACACCATACAAATGTTATAAATGGAGTTGTAGCTCTGGGAGTAAAGTAAGTGTTTGATTCCCTACCAACCAACAATGATTCACGCTCCCACAGACTGGCGAAGTGCTCATGTGGTACACAGATCAGTCCTGGCAATGTAAGAAGGCGCTCCTAACGACAACTCGTTCTGTGTATAAAAAAGACGCCTGTCCACAGAATCTCTTTCTTCCATTCAAACCTCACCACCACCATGGGCAAGACTAAAGAGCTGTCAAAGGACATCAGGGACAAGACTGTAGACCTGCACAAGGCTGGAATGGGCTACAAGACCATAAGTGAGAAGCTTGGTGAGAAGGAGACAACTGTTAGAGCGATTATTCCCAAATGGAAGAAATACAAAATAAACATCGATCACCCTCAGTCTGGAGCTCCATGCAAGATTTCACCTCATGGGGTAAGGGAGATCATGAGAAAAGTGAGGGATCAGCCCAGAACTACACAAGAGGAGCTTGTGAAGGATCTCAAGGCAGCTGGGACCACAGTCACCAAACCAACCATTGGTAACACAATACGCCCCCATGGAATGAAATCCTGCAGCCAATGAACATCTAAATGATTCAGAGAAGGATCGGGAGAAAGTGCTGTGGTCAGATGAGACCAAAATTGAGCTCTTTGGCATTAACTCGACTCGCCGTGTTTGGAGGAAGGAAAATGCTGACTATGACCCTAAGAGCACCATCCCTACAGTCAAGCACGGAGGTAGAAACATTATGCTTTGGGGCTGTTTCTCTGCTACACACTGACTTTGCCGCACTGAGGGGTCAATGGACTGGGCTATGTAAAATCTTGGATGAGAACCTTCTTCCCTCAGCCAGAACACTGAAGATGGATCATGGATGGGTCTTCCAACATGACAAAGACCAAAAACATATCACCAAGGCAACAAAGGAGTGGCTCAAGAAGAAGCACATTAAGGTCATGCAGTGGCCTAGCCAGTCAGAAACCTTGATGCTATAGAAAATTTATGGAGGGAGTTGAAAGTTCGAGTTGCCAAACATCAGTCACCAAACCTTAAGGATTTAGAGAAGATCTGTAAAAAGTGGACCAAAATTCCTCCTGAGATGTGGGCAAACTTGGGAACCAACTACAAGGAATGTCTTACCTCTATGCTCACCAACAAGGGTTCCTCCGCCAACTACAAGGAACATCTCACCTCTATGCTCACCAACAAGGGTTCCTCCGCCAACTACAAGGAACATCTCACCTCTGTGCTCGCCAACAAGGGTTCCTCCACCAACTACAAGGAACGTCTCTCCTCTGTGCTCGCCAACAAGGGCTCCACCACCAACTACAAGAAACGACTTACCTCTGTGCTCGCCAACAAGGGTTCCTCCACCAACTACAAGGAACGTCTCACCTCTGTGCTCGCCAACAAGGGTTCCTCCACCAACTACAAGGAATGTCTCACCTCTGTGTTCGCCAACAAGGGCTCCTCCACCAACTACAAGAAACGGCTTACCTCTGTGCTCGCCAACAAGGGATCCTCCACCAACTACAAGGACCGTCTCACCTCTGTGCTTGCCAACAAGGGTTCCTCCACCAAATAAAAGGAACGTCTCACCTCTGTGCTCACCAACAAGGGTTCCTCCACCAACTACAAGGAACATCTCACCTCTGTGCTCGCCAACAAGGGTTCCTCCACCAACTACAAGGAACATCTTACCCCTGTGCTTCCAACAAGGGTTACTCCACCAACTACAAGGAATGTCTCACCTCTCTGCTGGCCAACAAGGGCTCCTCCACCAACTACAAGAAACGGCTCACCTCTGTGCTTGCCAACAAGGGTTCCTCCACCAATTACAAGGAATGTCCCACCTCTGTGCTCGCCAACAAGGGTTCCTCCACCAACTACTAGGAACGTCTCACCTCTGTGCTGGCCAACAAGGGTTCATCCCCCAACTACAAGGAACGTCTCACCTCTGTGCTCGCCAACAAGGGTTCTTCCACCAACTACAAGGAACATCTCACCTCTGTGCTTGCCAACAAGGGTTCCTCCACCAAATACAAGGAACGTCTCACCTCTGTGCTCACCAACAAGGGTTCCTCCACCAACTACAAGGAACATCTTACCTCTGTGCTTCCAACAAGGTTTCCTCCACCAACTACAAGGAATGTCTCACCTCTCTGCTGGCCAACAAGGGCTCCTCCACCAACTACAAGAAACGGCTTACCTCTCTGCTCACCAACAAGGGTTCCTCCACCAACTACAAGGGACGTCTTACCTCTGTGCTCGCCAACAAGGGTTCCTCCACCAATTACAAGGAATGTCCCACCTCTGTGCTGGCCAACAAGGGTTCCTCCACCAACTACTAGGAATGTCTCACCTCTGTGTTTGCCAACAAGGGTTCCTCCACCAACTACAAGGAACGTCTCACCTCTGTGTTTGCCAACAAGGGTTCCTCCACCAACTACAAGGAACGTCTCACCTCTGTGCTCGCCAACAAGGGTTCCTCCACCAACTACAAGGAACGTCTCACCTCTGTGCTCGCCAACAAGGGTTCCTCCACCAACTACAAGGAACGTCTCACCTCTGTGCTCGCCAACAAGGGTTCCTCCACCAACTACAAGGAACGTCTCACCTCTGTGCTCGCCAACAAGGGTTCCTCCACCAACTACAAGGAACGTCTCACCTCTGTGCTCGCCAACAAGGGTTCCTCCACCAACTACAAAGAACGTCTCACCTCTGTGTTCGCCAACAAGGGTTCCTCCACCAACTACAAGGAACATCTCACCTCTGTGCTCACCAACAAGGGTTCCTCCACCAACTACAAGGAACGTCTCACCTCTGTGCTCGCCAACAAGGGTTCCTCCACCAACTACAAAGAACGTCTCACCTCTGTGTTCGCCAACAAGGGTTCCTCCACCAACTACAAGGAACGTCTCACCTCTGTGCTCGCCAACAAGGGTTCCTCCACCAACTACAAGGAATGTCTCACCTCTGTGTTCGCCAACAAGGGCTCCTCCACCAACTACAAGAAACGGCTTACCTCTGTGCTCGCCAACAAGGGATCCTCCACCAACTACAAGGACCGTCTCACCTCTGTGCTTGCCAACAAGGGTTCCTCCACCAAATAAAAGGAACGTCTCACCTCTGTGCTCGCCAACAAGGGTTCCTCCACCAACTACAAGGAACATCTCACCTCTGTGCTCGCCAACAAGGGTTCCTCCACCAACTACAAGGAACATCTTACCCCTGTGCTTCCAACAAGGGTTACTCCACCAACTACAAGGAATGTCTCACCTCTCTGCTGGCCAACAAGGGCTCCTCCACCAACTACAAGAAACGGCTCACCTCTGTGCTTGCCAACAAGGGTTCCTCCACCAATTACAAGGAATGTCCCACCTCTGTGCTCGCCAACAAGGGTTCCTCCACCAACTACTAGGAACGTCTCACCTCTGTGCTGGCCAACAAGGGTTCATCCCCCAACTACAAGGAACGTCTCACCTCTGTGCTCGCCAACAAGGGTTCCTCCACCAACTACAAAGAACGTCTCACCTCTGTGTTCGCCAACAAGGGTTCCTCCACCAACTACAAGGAACATCTCACCTCTGTGTTTGCCAACAAGGGTTCCTCCACCAACTACAAGAAACGGCTTACCTCTGTGCTCGCCAACAAGGGTTCCTCCACCAACTACAAGGAACATCTCACCTCTGTGCTTGCCAACAAGGGTTCCTCCACCAAATACAAGGAACGTCTCACCTCTGTGCTCACCAACAAGGGTTCCTCCACCAACTACAAGGAACATCTTACCTCTGTGCTTCCAACAAGGTTTCCTCCACCAACTACAAGGAATGTCTCACCTCTCTGCTGGCCAACAAGGGCTCCTCCACCAACTACAAGAAACGGCTTACCTCTCTGCTCACCAACAAGGGTTCCTCCACCAACTACAAGGGATGTCTTACCTCTGTGCTCGCCAACAAGGGTTCCTCCACCAATTACAAGGAATGTCCCACCTCTGTGCTGGCCAACAAGGGTTCCTCCACCAACTACTAGGAATGTCTCACCTCTGTGTTTGCCAACAAGGGTTCCTCCACCAACTACAAGGAACGTCTCACCTCTGTGTTTGCCAACAAGG